GGTAGCTCCGTCAAGTTTGTCTCTACAAAGTTTGACCAACAAGATGTAAAAGCTGCTGAATTTGCTCCCGTGGCAGGCAAAATTTTCGTAGAATTGTATCTTTTGACATGGTAGCCGACTTACAGAAGGTATACTTAACTAAGAACGTTTCGGGAAACACGTATTAACGTAAAGGTACAACTTAAGGTATAACTTACGAACGACGTAGCGTTAAGAAGGTTTCGGGAAACGCAGCCCTGGACAATAAGGAGACGACAAAAAGCAAAATAACTGCCACTCTATTGAAAATTATGTGATGTTTTATAAACAAATTTCGGGAGGAGCACGCGCAGATAATCAACCCGGCCAATTCACTATCAGTAATTAGGCTATATCATCTATCCAACCACCACGAGAGAGAACCACTATAAATAATCATAGCAGCCTTACCTTCATTCTCTCTAGTCTTCCAGCATCCCTCCACCACCCCGACTCACCACCGTCGACCCATTCCTACCGGGGGGAGCGCTCTGCGTTCGGGCAAATGCCGAGCTAGGAGCCCTCTCCCTGGACAGGGTGGGAGTGCCCCGGGTTCGGCAAGATTTACCGAGCTCAGAGCCCTCTCCTCGGACAGCACGCCAAATACGCATATACTATTCTTCTTGCTTTATTATCTGCAAGGCGAACTCGTGAAATGCAATTAAAACTAAAACACAAAGGATCCGGGGTCAAGTTTATGGTTTTAAGTTAACTTGAAGAGGTTCAGAGTTAAACTTCTACCTTTGTTTTAGATCCTTTAAAAACGTTTATGGCAAAATGGCCCAATAGAACTTAACATGGAACTTGGAATGTTGTTTTTATTATTTTATAAGAGTCAAAAGGCACACAAAACAGCATATTGTTTAAGTATTGCAACTAATGTATCTTATCAAAATAAATTACGTTTTTTATATTTAAAGTAAATTTGCAAACAAAGAAACTAACTGACTAAACACAATTATATTTATAAAAATAAAGAGTGCCAGCTTATTTTGAAACTATACGCTGGAGGTTGTGATACATTTTATTTCTTTTATCAATGAATTCAAGCAGTTAACACCCACAGTCTGCACATCTATCATAACTGTCTTTGAAAGGTTTACTTCTAGAAATAAGTTGCTGACTCATTATGTCTAGTCGAAAACTTGCTAAAAGTTAAGAACCCAGCGAAAGTAAGTTGTCATCAAGAACGTTTCTTTTTAAGAGTTTAATTCTGGTCATATAGACTTCTGGCCAGTGTTTTCTGGAATCAATGGAAGCAAACAACATTAAAGTGCTTTTAACATTATTTTATTGATCTTATTTTATAAGAGTTAGATCTTTGTGTGAACAGCTCCTGCAATCTTCTGCAATACAGCTGGTGTTCATTGGTGATGAGACTCTAGTGGTATTGTTTGCACAGAGCGGAAACGACAACAGCCAGAAACTTCTGCCAAGCCTCCTGGACATCAGCAGTGATACCAGAGGGGCCAAACTTCATGGCAGCGCACACGGTGATGCAGTCAGCCAAAAGCTGTAGAGCAAGAGATCTATTTGGTGGGTGTTTTTCGATAAAGATGATTCAACATAATATGAGCACAACAGTTTTCTAATTTAAATCACGCAAATATTAGTTTTATTTTCTCAAACCTACCTTGAAGTTGTCGGGATCCACATGCAGTCTCTCAGAGTGCATCACACTGAGTGGCGCATAGGTGGCCTTGATGTTATCCATGTTCTTGATGGCTCTCTCCAGACCTCCCATCACAGTCCTCCCGTGAGCTGCCACCTTGGAGTTACCCATGATTGCAGTGGGACTTGACAGGTTTCCAAAGGTGGAGAAATATCTCTGAGTCCAGGGATACACGATCAGACACCTTAAATAAACAGAATCATTAAGAACAGCATTAAATAAACTGCGTAACTGACATAATCTAACACGGAGAGAATCTTTATAGAATGTGTCTATAAAGAATGTGATGCAATGATACCTGGCTAGGGCCTGAGGTCCACTTTCTTCGGGATTGAGCTTTCCCCACAGGCCAATGATGGCACTTTGCTCAGCATCTGTCCACTCAACCATGTCTACGTTTTAGGGTGTCCTTAGGTACTTGCTTAAGTCCAGTAGGAATCACTAGTAGAAATTCAGAAACCGGAGTATAATTATTGACTTGATGTGCCTCCGTCCATTAAAAGATGCAAAGTCTTATTGGATAATTTCTCTGAGCAGGTGACGCATACATGTCTGGACATCACTGATTGAACCCCGTCTAAAAACCATCTGACATTTTTGTCAAAATAGAGTTATTCACATATTCTTATTCCGTGACAATTTATTTACATTATGTGATAGATTTTTTTAATGTTGTGTACATTTTGGGACTTTTTATTTAAAAAACAAAAAGGTTCTATCTACACAGTCGAATGGAATGCAAAATTTTTGAAGCTCGATATCTCAAAACTATTCGGAATGCATAACCTTATAATTCCAAGGGGACGAAATGTTGTTTTGTAAGAAGTCTTATACATGAACAAGCTTTTTTTCTGCCAAATGTTGCTGATCAAATTTGCACCACGCTAATATTACCACTATATTACCATGAACAAACGTTCATAACAATAAAATGTAGTCATTTTCAGTGAAATAGCAAAATAGCAAAGCACCGTTACAAAAAGATATTTTGATTATAATGCATGGCCAGATGAATGCAAGCGTTTTCAACTGATGATGATTTTCAAATGTATTACTTGAAATTAATTTTATTAGACACATCATCCTTTCCAAGAGTTGCACCATCATTTATAAACGTTTTGGGGAAAAAAACAATTACACAAATGGGTTTAGTTCATTTGAACAATGTTAATTCTGATTCATACGTTTAAAATGGTGATTAAGTGAAAATAAAATATAAAATAACTTAATTTGCATAGCGCGTGAAGGGTGTGAATAGAAAATCTTTATCTTAATTAAACGAGAAGCACAAAATTGGCACGCTTGTGATTGGACACCACAGGTTGGGGATCAGCAGTAATGCGTTTAAGGGGTGTGGTTTGGACCGAGTTCATGGGTGTGACCTTCTTTAGTTTTATATAAAAAGTGGGACAAAATCCCGTTTTCGCTAACATCTTTTTCTGAAGACAATCTAACTTGAGAAAAAGAAGACGCAGCAATGAGTCTCTCTGATAAGGACAAGTCTGCTGTGAAGGCCTTATGGGCTAAGATTGGCCCCAAGGCCGATGAAATCGGAGCTGAAGCCCTCGGCAGGTAATACTGGACCAGGCTACTGTCTTCCTAGGTTAAGATTACTTATTGACAGGTCTATATAGAAACTTCCTAGGTAACTTTGCTAAATAACATGAAAAGTTAATGTTTTCATTTATTCGATTACCTTAAAGTATAATGTTTAGATCACCGAAATTATTATTGTTATTATTTCCTTTCAGAATGCTGACCGTCTATCCTCAGACCAAGACCTACTTCGCTCACTGGGCTGACCTGAGCCCTGGGTCTGCTCCTGTGAAGAAGCACGGCAGTTTTATCATGGCTGCAGTCGGCGATGCCATTTCAAAAATAGACGACCTTGTGGGAGGTCTGATGGCCCTGAGCGAACTTCATGCTTTCAAGCTGCGTGTTGACCCGGCCAACTTCAAGGTACACCATGACAAAACAATAGTAGGCCTATATCACAGTAGTGTAAATAAGTCTACTCATAATGGACATGGTAGTATGATAATGTGTTTCTGTTTCTTCCTTTTCTAGATATTCATACACAATGTCATTGTGGTCATCGGCATGCTCTTCCCTGGAGACTTCTCCCCAGAGGTTCACGTGTCAGTTGACAAGTTTTTTCAGAACTTGGCCCTGGCTCTCGCTGAGAAGTACCGCTAAACTTCCAGTGGGCATTCATTCATACGCTACACTGCGCGGCACCCCTAAGCAACTCAAGTGTGATGTCTGAATAAAATTAGTCAATAAAAGGCACAGAATTAAACGAGTCATGTCTTATTTTTATCAATAGGCTATATTTGAATCGATCATATGTGTTTTCAAACCCCTTTGTCGGGATAAACTGAAAGCCTATACTTGATTCTCACTGAGCTATCCTTAAAATGATAATTATTTTACCAACTCTTTTTATTTTTTAATTCAAATTTTTACTTTCACATAAACTCTGAACTCTTGGTTCATTAACATTTTATACTCGCTGTTATCAAAAACGGAACCGACCGGGAGCAAGTTCAGACAACTCAAACTACGGTTACATTTACATATGCATTTACATATGCATTTTCCAAAGTCACTTACAAAAGGAGAACAAAGGCTGACGTTCTCAACAGAGCACCGAATCCAGGTGTCACAATGGAAGCTCCATACTTTTTCTGTTTATTGGCGATTTACATTCTTGTGCATATGGCCACCTGGGCGGTTGTGCAATCGTTTTTAATCTTATCAATTAAACTTAATACGTTTTTTTATTACTGTGGACAAAAATTATGTTGTTTATCTGATAAAGTAAAAAAGAAAGATTGTTGCTTCCATTTGTTGTGTCCCTTTGCAAACAAACAAACACACATTTTGAATAAAATAAATACAAAATAAATTAATTATAAATAAAAATAGGCCTAAAACAAATATTTGTGTATATATTCATTTTATATAAAAAGTGGGACAAAATCCCGTTTTCGCTAACATCTTTTTCTGAAGACAATCTAACTTGAGAAAAAGAAGACGCAGCAATGAGTCTCTCTGATAAGGACAAGTCTGCTGTGAAGGCCTTATGGGCTAAGATTGGCCCCAAGGCCGATGAAATCGGAGCTGAAGCCCTCGGCAGGTAATACTGGACCAGGCTACTGTCTTCCTAGGTTAAGATTACTTATTGACAGGTCTATATAGAAACTTCCTAGGTAACTTTGCTAAATAACATGAAAAGTTAATGTTTTCATTTATTCGATTACCTTAAAGTATAATGTTTAGATCACCGAAATTATTATTGTTATTATTTCCTTTCAGAATGCTGACCGTCTATCCTCAGACCAAGACCTACTTCGCTCACTGGGCTGACCTGAGCCCTGGGTCTGCTCCTGTGAAGAAGCACGGCAGTTTTATCATGGCTGCAGTCGGCGATGCCATTTCAAAAATAGACGACCTTTTGGGAGGTCTGATGGCCCTGAGCGAACTTCATGCTTTCAAGCTGCGTGTTGACCCGGCCAACTTCAAGGTACACCATGACAAAACAATAGTAGGCCTATATCACAGTAGTGTAAATAAGTCTACTCATAATGGACATGGTAGTATGATAATGTGTTTCTGTTTCTTCCTTTTCTAGATATTCATACACAATGTCATTGTGGTCATCGGCATGCTCTTCCCTGGAGACTTCTCCCCAGAGGTTCACGTGTCAGTTGACAAGTTTTTTCAGAACTTGGCCCTGGCTCTCGCTGAGAAGTACCGCTAAACTTCCAGTGGGCATTCATTCATACGCTACACTGCGCGGCACCCCTAAGCAACTCAAGTGTGATGTCTGAATAAAATTAGTCAATAAAAGGCACAGAATTAAACGAGTCATGTCTTATTTTTATCAATAGGCTATATTTGAATCGATCATATGTGTTTTCAAACCCCTTTGTCGGGATAAACTGAAAGCCTATACTTGATTCTCACTGAGCTATCCTTAAAATGATAATTATTTTACCAACTCTTTTTATTTTTTAATTCAAATTTTTACTTTCACATAAACTCTGAACTCTTGGTTCATTAACATTTTATACTCGCTGTTATCAAAAACGGAACCGACCGGGAGCAAGTTCAGACAACTCAAACTACGGTTACATTTACATATGCATTTACATATGCATTTTCCAAAGTCACTTACAAAAGGAGAACAAAGGCTGACGTTCTCAACAGAGCACCGAATCCAGGTGTCACAATGGAAGCTCCATACTTTTTCTGTTTATTGGCGATTTACATTCTTGTGCATATGGCCACCTGGGCGGTTGTGCAATCGTTTTTAATCTTATCAATTAAACTTAATACGTTTTTTTATTACTGTGGACAAAAATTATGTTGTTTATCTGATAAAGTAAAAAAGAAAGATTGTTGCTTCCATTTGTTGTGTCCCTTTGCAAACAAACAAACACACATTTTGAATAAAATAAATACAAAATAAATTAATTATAAATAAAAATAGGCCTAAAACAAATATTTGTGTATATATTCATTTTATATAAAAAGTGGGACAAAATCCCGTTTTCGCTAACATCTTTTTCTGAAGACAATCTAACTTGAGAAAAAGAAGACGCAGCAATGAGTCTCTCTGATAAGGACAAGTCTGCTGTGAAGGCCTTATGGGCTAAGATTGGCCCCAAGGCCGATGAAATCGGAGCTGAAGCCCTCGGCAGGTAATACTGGACCAGGCTACTGTCTTCCTAGGTTAAGATTACTTATTGACAGGTCTATATAGAAACTTCCTAGGTAACTTTGCTAAATAACATGAAAAGTTAATGTTTTCATTTATTCGATTACCTTAAAGTATAATGTTTAGATCACCGAAATTATTATTGTTATTATTTCCTTTCAGAATGCTGACCGTCTATCCTCAGACCAAGACCTACTTCGCTCACTGGGCTGACCTGAGCCCTGGGTCTGCTCCTGTGAAGAAGCACGGCAGTTTTATCATGGCTGCAGTCGGCGATGCCATTTCAAAAATAGACGACCTTGTGGGAGGTCTGATGGCCCTGAGCGAACTTCATGCTTTCAAGCTGCGTGTTGACCCGGCCAACTTCAAGGTACACCATGACAAAACAATAGTAGGCCTATATCACAGTAGTGTAAATAAGTCTACTCATAATGGACATGGTAGTATGATAATGTGTTTCTGTTTCTTCCTTTTCTAGATATTCATACACAATGTCATTGTGGTCATCGGCATGCTCTTCCCTGGAGACTTCTCCCCAGAGGTTCACGTGTCAGTTGACAAGTTTTTTCAGAACTTGGCCCTGGCTCTCGCTGAGAAGTACCGCTAAACTTCCAGTGGGCATTCATTCATACGCTACACTGCGCGGCACCCCTAAGCAACTCAAGTGTGATGTCTGAATAAAATTAGTCAATAAAAGGCACAGAATTAAACGAGTCATGTCTTATTTTTATCAATAGGCTA